AAGGTCTAGGCAGAACATATGTGTGGGGGTCATCAGCATAGAAATGTTGATTTCCCTGGAAGGTAGAGTGGATAAGCTCTATTATACTGGAGGAGTTGGCCTTAGATAAACACAAGGACATTTATCTATCAGGATAGGGCTGCCAGTGGATATCGCAATGCTGAGACTTCACAATTGGGAAAAAGGTCATCACCTAAGAATTAGAACGAGAAGTACATGTTAATTTTGAGGGAAAGGAAGAAGGTTTAACTAACATAGGTCCTGGTAGATTAGGCAAGAAGACAGACTAAAAAATATAACATGACTGTGAGGCAGAATTAAAGGCTTTTTTGAAGTTCTAGTCTAGTATTCAAAACATGGTTTGTCTTCCTCCAGCTGCACTCAGCTGCACTGCTGTGTTAGAGAGCTAGAGCTCGGTGATCATTTTTCCAAAAGAGTCAGATGAAAGAGAACAGTGCAAGAGGGCAAGCCTCTGTGGCCACATGGCTATCATGAGCATAACAGCTGACCGTAGGCCTTTATACAGTCTTTGCTTAAGCACCTCTCCTTCACTCCACACCTCTCCAATTCACTGCCCACACCCTTGTTTGAAACATGTCATCTCTGACCAGGATCCTTGAAACAGCTCCTGGAGGCCCCCTCTCCCACCCCTTCACTCCCATTTCACATTGGAGTCAGAGGACTTTTTTAAAAGGCAAACTCCATCACTTCCTCATGCTTGAAATCCTTGGTGGCTCTCCTTAGTTCTTCAAATAAAGTTCGTATTCCTTATTATCGTCTTTTAACAGATTCCACCACCCAAACACTAACACAAACATCACACCCAGCAAATTACAGCCATGCTGAACATTTTTTAGTTATTTAAATAGCACGCATTTCTTTGTATACCTGGTCAACTTTACACATGCTTCCTATGCCCAGAATGCTCCTTTCTCTTCCCATTCACTGAACTCCAGCCCCAACAAGACACATTTTCATCAGCTGAGCCTTTCATTTAGATTTCAAGTTTATTTAAGGCCTCCTCCAAAATTCCCTTCCTAAATTCCTTAGTCAGCTAGGCTTTTTCTGAACTCAACCCTTCTATACAGTTGTATTGAATCCCCAGTACCTAGTGGAGTGCTTGGCACATGGAAAATACTTAATGAATATTTGTAATATGAGTTAATAAACAAAAATGTATTCACAAATCAGTTAACAAATTGCAAATCTTTACAACAACCTATGCTTTATTAGCCCCATTGAACAGATGAAGAAATTGAAGTTCATAGTGGCTAACACATTTGCAGAGGGTAACGTATTTAGTAAGAGTTGTCATTTGGCGCCAAGTCTCTTATTCTGAAACCTTTGCTCTCTCATCAGCACCAGGCAGTCTTTCCTATTCTCATTTCTTTCCAATTTATCAATGCTTATACTGAGAGAGAAAGAGGAAGTTTAGTATAATATTTAAGAGCACAGATTTTTGAGAGAGACAGCAGTATTCAAATCCTTGGCTTTGACGTTTACTATCCATGTGACATTGAGGTATTTACTTAAACTCTTTGCCTTTGTTTCCAAATCTGTAAAATGGGAATTATAATAACTATTTCACAGTCTCATCGTAAAGATTAAATAAATTATTACAGCACATAGAACAATACCTGGCACATACATGGAAGCTATCTATACTGGGTAACCATTATTGCTTCATTTTTGTTATTACTGGTGTGGCTTCATATCAGAAGATACAGAGTTTTCCCAATTGGTGGTTTCAGGCTGGATGTAACATGGCATGGTCTAGATCATTAAATTGTGCCTTTAAATTTGCCTTATCTGAGGGATCCCTTTCTGGAGACAGAAGTCTACAACTCACACAATTTGCACAGGACTGCTACCTCATGGTGGTAGATGAGTGGTAATAGAAGACGCCCCTTCAGAATTGCTCACCAGATCCAACTCTCTGAGCCTCGGCTGCTTGTCAAGCCTATCATCCTCTGGGCACTGATCTCCATGCAGGAAAATAATCCATTTAGCACTGAGTCTTATGTTCACAGCTCTGTTCTTGTGCTATTTGAAATTTTCCTTTGAGAAAGAGAATCCTCAAAGGATATTTTTGTATGTCAAATGTAAATCCAAGAAGCATAGAACATGAGTATTGTACTCATTAATGGCAAGAGATTTTTCTTATTTACATATAACAAGTGAAAGTAGATTTATATTTTATTCAATGCCTGAAAATATTGATCTACAGGCCTTAGTAACCTATGTAAAATATTTCCCAAAGTAATTAATAGGTTTATAGCAAATTTTATGTAGAAAGATAAATGAGAGCTGCTCTTTGATTTTAATTAGGCAGAGTGCAAATACATGGGCACTTCCAGATACTTGTGATAGCAGTATAAGTTGGTATGGCTTTTCTAAGAGGCAATTTAGACACATAAACCCAATATCTTGAATATATTAAAATATTTTCCACCCAACATTTCCAAAATCTGAATTTAGATGAAAGGAAATAATTTGAAAGTTACTTAAATTGGTGGGCAAACATCAATTTTGGTTATCTATTTTTTTGGTTCCTTTGCATTTACCTAACATCTGTGACACTGTAATAAAATGTAACCTCAATGACAGCAGTGACTTTTTCTGCCTTTTTTTCCAGCCTAATAACAAATGCTTAGCAGATTAACTGGTATTTAGAGAATACTCAACAATTATCAAATAAATCAAATGATTGTTATGATATGTCTGATGGAACAAATGGGAAAGTATCTAAAAGGCAAAATTAAGGAATTGGCTAAATAAATATGGCCAAAAGATAGGTTAGACAAAATCTACTGAAAAGTCGTAGCTTTTTTGAAGAATGTTAATTAGCATAAAAAAAATCTCGACATATTTTTACATGAAAAACTAGAACACAAATCATATAATCCTAACTTTGCAAGTAAAATCTTTAAAAACAGAAATAAGGGGCTGGCCCGGTGGTGCAGCAGTTAAGTTTGCACATTTCACTTCGGTGGCCTGGGGTTTGCCGGTTGAGATCCTGGATGCGGACCTATGCATTGCTTGTGAAGCCATGCTGTGGCAGGTGTAGCACATATAAAGTAGAGGAAGATGGGCATGGAGGTTATCTCAGGGCCAGTCTTCCTTAGCAAAATGAGGAAGATTGGCAGCAGATATTAGCTTAGGGCTAATCTTCCTCAAAAAATAAAAATAAAAAAGAGAAACAAAATAAACCGTTTATATGAAGCCAGACATCATTTTTATTCTCTCCTTTAAAATTGTCCTTATTTCAAGCATTATGATGAACTACCTTATTTTTAAATGTTAAAATAGTTATAAAGACCATGAAGTTAGTTGGAAAATCGCTATGAAATAATTTATCTAAATAAGACTGTAGAAATGCATGCTGGATTACTACTAAGGAAAAGTTATACTAATATATGGATAGCAAATGGCAAATAAAACTGTTCAAGGTACGTAGTTTCTGGGTTTCTTTATCTTTCCTTTCTCTCTTTCTTCCTTTCTTCCTTCCTTACTTCCTTATTTTCTTCCTTTTGTTCTCTTCTTTCTAATTCCGTTAGGTTTTTCTTTTTTTCTAAAACGTTAAATTATAAAGCTATTTCATTAGCCATTTCAGTAACTACTTTAAAAAACTGGAGTTGGGTATGAACTCTTTTTCTTCAGATACTGGTAGATATTTTAGGAGATGCCAGAGCCTTATTTATTTATTTTTTATTTTGCAGGGAACGATTCACCCTGAGATAACATCTGTTGCCAATCTTCCTCTTTTTCTTTTTTTTTTCCTCCCCAAAGCCCCAGTACATGCTCATATATCCTAGTTGTAAGTCATTCCAGTTCTTCTGTGTGAGCAGCCACCACAGCATAGCAACTGACAGACAGGTGGTGTGGTTTCGCAACCACGAAGGGAATCCGGGCTGGCAAAGCAGTGATCACCAAACTTTAACCACTAGGCCATCAGGGCTGGCTCACCAGAGCCTTCTTTACTAACAATAAACTCAAGTATATCAGAGTTGTTCTACCACTATTAGTCCGACAATAAAACTAAAACCACAAAAAGCAATGACCTACATTTTTATTTAGCTCTTGTGCCATTGTGAATGTCAGCTTTAATCTATGATTATTCTGTAGGGAAAAAAAATTATGAAGACATTTGATGTAATCATTTTTTTTTCTCTCTGCCTTCAGACACTTTTGATACATTTCATCGTGTTGTAAATGTCCCAGCATTTTTTATTCTACTGAGTCTTAACTGGAAGAGAAATAACTGACATAAAAGCAGGGAATTTAGTTCTCCCTGGTTACACAAACAAGGTCAACCTTAACCAGGATTTAATTATCAATCTGTAGTATTTCCAAGCCTACAGACCCTAGAGTAGAAACTTAATAAATATTATTATTTAGATGTTATAAATTATTCCCATTTTGATTCTTAAAAATGGCTACAGAAACCATTTGGAATTTTACAGAATTCTCAATGACTTCTTATTGGAACAAACCTGTGATTAGCATAGGTATTTAATTGAATTATGACAATTGTATGTTCTTTTGCATACTCACAGAGATAACCTAACCCTGAGATTAAAAAAAAATTAACTTTCTTTACATACGTCTTTATATTTTCTGCATTTTCTAATTCCAAGTCTTACACAAATTTTTCTCTTCCGTGTTTTACTCAGCAAATAACTACAGTAATACTTGAGGTTTAAATTCAGACTATTTGTATTTGAACCTGCTACTTCTTCCTCAACGCACTCCTGCTAAGCTTCTCTCTGTTCTCCTCCCCAGACTGAGGGGCTGCAGGATCTGCTGAATAGTTATTTAAGCCAATAGGAAGGTGCTCATACGCTTCTCTGCATTCGATCTTTTCTTTTATATATATATATATTTGTCTTTATCTGTTTTTTTGTATCCATGCATCATTTATTTTCATGAACTACTTATGAATCCAGAACCACTGTTTACTAAGGAAAAGCCATTAAAATCTTCATACTTGTTGATCATACCTTGAGAATCTTGCACATAATCTCATAAACTGAAAATGTTTTCTCTGCTCGGGTCCAGTCCCATGTTGTCACCTTTAAAAGATGAGAAACTAGTGTATCATCTGTTTTAGAAAGAGAGCGCCCATCTCCCTATTTATTTTACTTATATAATATGGTGCATAGTGGAACTCTCGTACTCATACTATATAGTCTGTCAGTTGTAAAGTTATTGTCACAGAGATCTTCACATAATGTTTTGGTTTCTTCTCCTCCAAGTTTTATCACACTTCTCTTCCTCTTTCAGCAAATGTTTTATGTTATCCTCACACCCTCCATTTGCCCAATGTCTTCACATATTTTAAATAATGTGTGTATTCTCCACATATAAATACCAAGTATCTCACACCTATAATATTTTTTCTCAGTTTACCACCAGTTACAAACAAAGAATACCAGATATCAACACTGGCTTTAATATTTTTTTTAAATAATTTATGTTAAGAAGTCATTCCAAGATACGAAAGCCTTATAACATTGTGAAGACACCAAAACTACAGTGAATTTTGTTTCACTTATCTATGTTTGAAACAAATATTTGTCCAGTCATAAGAAATTATTTCTAGTAGGAATGGAGTGAAAGATATAAATATCAATGACTTTTTTCCTGCCTTCCTGGTTCTTTGAACTTTGTGTCAACATAGACAGTCAAAATAGCAGCAGGTAAGACTTGATAATTCCAAGATCCTGTGCGTTACTAGACCTGTAAGTAAGTGGTCTGGCATTTGGTACTTACATTCAAAAAATATTTATTGAGAATTTACTGTTGTATAAGGTACTTGCTTCCAAAAGCAAGCCCTTAGGTACAATAGGTAGCCATAGATATTTAATACGAAGCCCAAAGACCACCATATAGGATACCCAAAATGCTATTGATTCGATTTAGACAGACTTATGCCACATAGGAAAACATATGTTGAGTGCCATAAGTGCCTAAACAGAAATGCTTTCTAGATTTTTCAAGGGTTATAAAGTAAATGTTTAATACCAGAACATGTATCCTTAGAAAAATATTTTCAGAAATATTTGGACTGTTTTCTACTTTTGTCTGATCTTATTTTCAAAATATATTGGTAATATGTTATTTGTTACTGTTAAGTTGATGTCACTCTGTTGTGATAATGTGGGAAAAATAAAAAGTGTTGAACAAAATCACTTACTGGAGGTGCCAGAAACTTGTAAAGACATGAACCCCTCAGGGCTAGAAATGTTGGTGAGTACACGCGATCTTGAAGGGGGTCCTGCTCCCGTGCTTCACACCACCCCATGTAGACAATCTGCAAGGAAATTGAATATAAATAACTGTCAAAAAAGTCTCATTTCAGATGTCTTATGTGTATTTTTTATATCTTGTATTTTAATTCTCTTATAAAATGTTCAAATTAATTGATGCAAAAAAGTACGCTAACCAGATTTACGTTCAATAAGTGAATGTAAAGTACGCATAAGAATTTAATACGTTTCTATCAGCACTTATCAAGTATTTGTTTATGCAATCTAACTTGACATGAATTATATCTCCCACTCTCTATCATTCCTCCTATGAAAATATTTCTTTGTAATAAAATTCATTCACTTTATCCTATCAGTTTTCCAATTAGTGGCATTTTACTACCTGGAAATGTGCTCTCAGGTAAAATATTTAAGTGTGATTACCACTAGCGTAGTGTACCACTCTATCTGTGCCTGACATGGCGGGATGATAACCTTTCTTGTTTTAGTCACTGATCTAAGATTATTCAAAAATTATTCATATATCAAATGGTAGTAACAACTCTGTGCCTCTGGCTCTTAAATGTAGCTGATCAATGTCCAAAATAAAATCATGTGAGGTAAGCCACTCCTCTTTCTCTTATTTGATTGTCATGAAGCTCAAACATGTACATAAACATTTATTAAATGAGTACTTCATCCCTAACAAAGTATTCACGTAACATTTCATTTACTTCTTACCACAACTCTATGTAGGAGATGTATTTGGGAATATATATTTCTCACCTCATGTAACTTACTTTGGTTTTATGGTTGGCAGATGTTCTTTCCTGTTCCTAGACTTTTGCTTTTTTGCTATGAGGTTTGCTATGACTAATGGGATTTTAATGCACATGACACAAGTAGAGTTGAACTTAGTATGTCATGCTTCTTCCATTATTGTAAGGAAAGCATACCCAAGGTAGAGAGATGTGGAATACATCAGAGCTCAGATTGCCTCCTGCATCCAAGCCCAGCCAACTCCAGCCTAGTGTCTAATGCCAAACAAACAGTTCTCTTGTAGAGAAAACACATACCTATTGTTGTATTGCACCTAGTTTTGGAGTTGTTTTATTATGCAGCATTACTATGGTGATAGCTGACTAACAACAATGAAAGAATCTGAAGTGTAGAATTTGAAATAAGATATCAGTCTGATTTTAGACCTCATTTTCTTTCCACTATATTATATTTGCTCTCCACAATAATTGTATTGCCCATTATCTCATTATCCAAGTTTGTTTTACAATCAGCTTCTGAGATATAAAGATGCTGTTTTAACAAATTGAGGAATTTTGATTTAAATAAAGTAGCTTAACAAGTGAGTCCAACTTTGTATGAGTTAGAATTGGAATTTGAACCAAAGTCCCTTGCTCTTTTAACTTTACTGCGTATTCTCTAATCTCTTACATTATTAATTTGTTGTTAGTACCCTAAAGTCGATTCCAACTCCTAGTGACCACGTGTACAGCAGAGTGGTACCTGGCTTGGTCTGTTTGCACCATCCTGTCATCTTCTGGCACTATTTCAGACAACATTCTCCTGTTATTTATAGGATGTTCACAGCCAGTTTATTTGGAAGTGGGTGGTCAGGTCCTTCTTCCTAGTCTGTCTCAATCTGGAAACTCTGCTGAAACCTGTCCACCATGGGTGCCTCTGCTGGTAATTGAAATACTGGTGGAATAGCTTTAAGCATCACAACAACACTCAGCCATCATAGTATGAAAACTAACAGATTGGTGGTGTGGTTCCCTGACTGGGAGACAAACCTCAGTGTGCAGTAGTGAGAATGCCCAATCTTTACCACTAGACCATGAGGGCTGGCTCAATTACTCATATATACTTTGAAATTTATAACATGTGGGAGCTATTCATAGAGACTAAATTGTTTAATAATAATATAGTAAGAACCAGCTACAGTAATTGATTATCTTGTATTGCTCACACAGCCAAGTAGATACTTAATCAAATAATATCATAGCTTTTACAAAATAATGAAGTCTAATAGCTGACCATACCACAAGGGAAAAAAAGAGTTAGCTATGGAAGTATATATAATTTGTCAGAATAACTGACTTAAAGTAAAAGTAGGAAAAGATTAATTTCCTTTTCCAGTTGTTGTGTATCATGCAATTCAGACAACCTGCTAACTGAAGTCACCTTGGAAAACAGGGAAACAATATTTTTTAAATGTGCTTAAAGCACTAGATATTTTATTAGGTATTAAAGAATTAAGAGGAAAAACCCATACTAAAATGGAAATTGTAGAGGTGAGCCCAAATGTGGGTTAACTTTCTAATACAGATATGGCCCATCAGAGACTGAGGTGCTTTTTTCAGCCTCACAGGTTTAGGGCATAACGTTAAATTCCAGGGCCCTTCAAGTGGGGAAGACTTAGTAAACATGCTCTGCTTTTATTTCAGATCACAAGTGACTGCATCCTAATAACAAAGTTGAGGCAGAAGTCATCAGCCCTTATAGCAACTAGAACTCAGATTCAAGTCATCCAGATGGTTGAGAAAATGTCAACCTTGAAATGATGTGTGATGAATCCAGATTACAGTTCTCCTAGGCTCCTGGCTAAAGAAAATGGAAACCCTCTCTGGATGATAATAGTATCATCCTGTGTCTCAACTTATTTTTTATAAAAACTGTGCCCTGGACAAAATAAAAATAGCTAAGAATATAAGGGGAAAAATTCATGAAGCACATCAAATGAAAACCATGAAAAACAATAGGCAGCAGGACCCAACATTTAAGCATTCCAGGTATTAAAATTTTCTAACACAGACATTAACTTAATCTTGCTTCCTATGTACAGGAAGATAAGATACGAGCTTGTTTGTCTTCTTTTGAGAAATGTATATTGAGGTCTTTTAGCCCATTTTTAAATTGAGTTATCTGTCTTTTTGCAATTGAGTTTCTTATATATTTTGGACATTATCCCCTTATCAGATGTATGATTTGCCAATATTTTCTCCCATTCCATAGGCTACTCTTTCACTCTGTTGATTATTTCCTCTGCTGTCCAGAAGTTTTTTATTTTGATGAAGTCCAATTTGCCTATTTTTGTTTTTGTTGACTATGTTTTTGGCGTCATATCCAAAAAATTATTGCCCAGACGAATGCTGAGGAGATTTTTCCTTATGTTTTCTTCCAGTTCAAAAAGGAAATTAAGAAAACAATCCTATTCACAATAGCAACAAAAAGTACAAAACACTTAGGAATAAACTTAACAAAGAGATGAAAGATTTGTACACTGAAAATTATAAAATATTAACAAAGGAAATTGAGATATAGATAAATAAAAAGACATGTCATGCTCATGGATTGGAAGAGTTAGTATTTAAAAATATCCATAATATCCAAAGTGACCTACTGATGCAATGCAATCCCTATCAAAATCCAAATGGCATTCTTTACAGAAATAATAAAAACATCCTAAAATTCATATGGTATCACAAAAGACCCTAAATAGCCAAAACAATATTGAGAAAGAAGAACAAAGCTAGAGGCACTGCACTTCCTCATTTCAAAATATATTACAAGGCAACAGTAATCAGAACAACAGGATACTGGCATAAACGTGTATGCATAAACTAATGGAACAGAACAGAGAGCCCAGAAATAAATCCATGCATTTATGCTCAACTGATCTTCAACAAAGATGTCAAGAATGCACAATGGGGAACGGAAAGTCTCTTCCATAAAAAGTGTCCAGAAAACTTGATATCCACATGCAGAAGAATGAAATTGGACCCTTATCTCACACCATATACAAAAATCACCTCAAAGTGAATAAAACACTTATATGTAAGACCTAAAACCATAAAACCACAAAAAATGCAGTTTTAAAACATTATGCATCTTCTCTGTATATATTCCAATGTGGCTACAATAAAAAGGAAGGAAGTGCCCAATTTTGGTGAAGATATGTAGTAATGTAAAAGCTCATATACAGCCAGTGAAAGTTTCATTTTTCACTTCTAATATAAACTCAACACTAATGTTTAGACATGTGCACTGAGGCATACATACAAGAATGTCCATTGTAGCATAATTCTTAGTAGTTCCAACTGCATACCAATATTTTAAAATATTAAGAAACTGCATACCTTCCAACATATTCTTTAGATGTATAAAGTAACAAACTGTGATATAATAAAGTAATAGTATACAGCAAGAAAAATTAGTAATTACAGTTATGTGGAAAAACATACATGAATCCCACAGAATATGTAAATTAAAAGAAGCACATATAGAGTAATATGTGCACATACACACATATATATATGTATGTATGTGTGATTTGATTCAAATAATCTATAGTATTTTAGAATGCATTCTTAGTTGGAAGAAAAAAGTACTGTAGTAAAGCAAGACAATTATTACCCAAACTGTCAGGATAATGGTTACATTAAAAGACAGCAAGCCAGTTGTGACTGGGGAAGAATGCAAAGTGGGGAGTGGGAACCTGAGTTGCTAGTAATCTACTTTTCTTGACTTGGAATGTGGTTACACAGGGGTTTTGGGCTTTTGAATAATCAAGCTGTGCATCTATGTTTTATAAACTTTCTATACATGTATTATATTTTGCAAAACTTCATTATCAAAATAGCATACAATGTGTACTATTAGTAAGAGTTTTATAACAATCTTATCTCAAAATAACATAGGGTTTTGTGAATTTTTTTATTTATTTATTTTTTTATTAATGTTATGATAGATTACAACCTTGTGAGATTTCAGTTGTACATTTTTGTTAGTCATGTTGTGGGTACACCACTTCCCCCTTTGTGCCCTGCCCCTACCCCCCCCCTTTTCCCTGGTAACCACCGATCAGATCTCCTTATCAATATACTAAGTTCCACCTATGAGTGGAGTCATATAGAGTTCGTCTTTCTCTGACTGGCTTATTTCGCTTAACATAATACTCTCGAGGTCCATCCACGTTGCTGTGAATGGGCCAATTTTGTCTTTTTTTATGGCTGAGTAGTATTCCATTGTGTATATATACCACATCTTC